TCCCGAGTGTCCCATGAGCAACAGTTCTGTACAGTATACCAGAGGTGAACCGCTCTGTTACTGTCACCCCTGGTGTAAGGATAGCCGTAAAAAGCACGCTTATTGATACGAAAAAGATGTGCATAACCGCCTCCCGGATAGCTCAATGGATAGAGCGCTGGATTGTTGTGCGGGAGGTCGAGGGTTCGAGCCCTGGCCGGACCAACACTCAAGGTCTTAAAATAATTGAGAAGAATTTGCTACCTTTCTATAACATCAAGAAATGGTTAGATATTCTAGCCTTCTCGGATAGGGACGAATAAATGGAGGTCCCGTCTCTTGCAGGGTTGGGGTAGGAGACGTTAATTTCCCTCACACGAGATTACTGTGGGATGGATGTCCTCCCCTGGGGTGGGATGGGTGGGAAGGTGAGATCGATAGACTGAAGCGGCTGCCAGAGGCGCCTGATATGCTAACGTCTGTTCTCAACCTTACACTGCGCTCGTAATTCAGCCTCTGGGCTGCAAGTGGTCAGATATAAACTATAATCATATTCGAAAGAAGTATAAGTAAATTTGGTAAATTGAGCCAAATCGTTAGCTATCTGAAGAGCAAACAAATGAGTCTACTTGAGTTTAAATTAAATTAAATTGCATTTTTTTTTTATTTTTTAAATGCATGGATGGTATTTTACAATTTTTTTTTTACATCAATGAAATAAAATTTAACTTTCTACACTTACACAAAGTTGTGTGAATTTTAAAACAAAAAATATTGTACTTTTAACAAACCTATATACAACAATATATACAATCTATAGCACCGTTTCAACAAGATGGTTAAAACGATGAAAATTTTGAGCTCTATCCTTCTCTTGAAACAACAGTCACATTCCTCAGGAATTCCAGCGAAAACTGTAGGCCTCTAAGGGACTTGACGCCATATGTGTAAGTGGTCGTTTAATTTCCTATAGCTGGAGATGGATCGTCAGAACTGTGGAGCACATGTGAACATTTGGTTTGAAGCTTCTGAACAGCAGATCTACAAAAGATTTAGCATACAGTCACATTCGGGGCACGAAGTATTGAAGGGTTAAATAATGAAATGAGTGATTTCAAGGAAAATGACTACATACACTAGCTGTAAAATGAACGATAAATTCAAAAATTGTACAACAGATACAGGCACGGCTGAGCCTATTTCAGATGGCGGACGGGGAGGAGGGGTTTCAAAAGATGAGCAACGAGGGCGCGACTTTGAAGGGGGGTGAGCAGCTATGCAGAACTTTGGGAGTACGGCGCACGATTCGTGCACCTCACTCCTGGAGATCTGCGTGGCACGCGCTAACGTCATTCTTTTCTTTCTTTTCTTTTTTTTTAATCACATACAACAAGATGGACTTCGCCAAAAAGGAGGAACTGCTCGTAATCAACCTTGACAATCTTGAAACACCTGGAAAACAATATCGATAGATTGGAAGGCATTAAACTTACTTTGTAACATTTCTACAGTAGAGGATCGTCAAAGACGACAAACCCTTGCATCCTTTCCTCAAGTACCGTAACGATTTGTCTCTGAAACCAAAACAAACCTTGTTACGATCTGCGTCGCTTCCGTGAAGAGTGAGGCAGTTTTGAAATGGGCGTTAACCCTTTACAACCTAACATTAGAACATAGCTAGCAGAACCGCGCAATCAAATTCAATATACGTAAGAGTGCTCAAAATCCCGATAGTGCACGCTGACAGCGTCAGCAAATGGCTCCGCCAGAAATTTTTTTTTTCGCGCGAGCGGCCATTTTTAGCGCGGGGAAAAATAATATATTTTGCGACTTTAAATGGATACAAACAGAAACTCGGCCTACTAGTCCGAAAACGAAGACAATGTTTCGACCTTTTCTCTTGGGCTAGAGTTCTTAAATGAGGCATAAAAAAAGAGAAAAACAACGGCAAAGGAGACTCGGCATCAGCGCCGTCACGATTCGCTTCAACTGATATTGTTGTCCATTTTTCGCGACGGATTTGATGCGCAATTCCACCGGCTATGTTGTAAAACAATTGGTTCATGCTTTCAGCTGTGCACTATCGAGTTATGGAGCACGTGGGAAGTTTGGAGAGCACTCAAGAGGCTAGAGTTGCCCTCGGCTATCGCCTCGGGCAACTCTTACGCTTCTTTCGTGCTCTCCAAACTTCCCGCGTGCTCCATAACTCGATAGTGCACGCTAAAGCATGAACCAATTGTTAATTAATGGTCGTTGTCGTTTACCGTGAGTCTACAGTTTACCGTGTTGGAATTAAAGTGTTTGTTTGGATTTCCCCTTTCGCTTCAGAACAGTTACAATTTGTCGATGTTTATGTCTGAAACTAGATTTTCTGCCGTTTTACGGCTAATGGTTAACCCCATTGGGATCCTGATGGTAGAGTGCGGCTTGCTAATCATCTGAACAGCACCTGGGGTTGTTTTTAGTTAGTTCGTTTGTTTGTATTAACGCATGTTTGCTTGCTTATAAAGTTTTATAGAGTTTTATTTTATAAATTGGTGATGTTTTTACATTTTGCGATAACAGGTTTTTGAAGTTTGAGTTGCCTAATTTTCTGATGGGAATTAAGTTTTTGCGTCAGATGGAACACAATCCAGAAAAAAAAAAAACACTTCACTTTTCGATACACACAACAAGAGACATTTGTCAAATGAATGGGTTCTCCCTTCTCCCGCTGACTTTTAGTTTTGTGTTTCAGCGTCCTAGAACACCATCTTTAGAAGAAATATTTGAAAAAATCAAGGAGGCTGTCCACAAGAATGGGATCCGGACAACAGAGTTCTTCAGAGACCATGATAAGTTAAGAAGCG